ACCTTTGTACAGGGAAACTCACCACGGGAAACTTGATGCCAGAGAGTGAGCTCGCCCTGGGAATGGAGGTGTAGAGACAGGGATTTTTTCTCTAAACCTAGTGAGGTTTTGTGTGAAGGCACCACACAGAGATTCTCATGGAGACCAGTTTCCTTTTTGTTTTTTAATACAGTAGATAGTACAATATTGGTAATCCCTATATGATTAGAATTCCAATCTGTAAAAGACCTGTGTCAAAACAGCATTATAATTAAACTATCAAAGCTCCTGTTTTACTTTCCCAGACTATGGATCTGTGACTCTGAGTTGTTGCATTTAAAATTATCTTCATTCCCTAGCCCGAGTTTCCCTGTGTGAGTCCAGAACATCTCCTCAATACAAAGAAGCAGGGTTTGTTACTGTCTATTGCAACCGGGAGCCTGTAGTCATCACCTCAAATCTGCCAGTGCTCCATGCAGTCCCAATGCTCTTCACCCACACTCAAGCACTGCCTGTTTTCCTGAACTCTGCACATCTAAGCAGTGTGCACATGTTATTTGGACACTTGGTATTTTTGTAAACCCCCCCCCTTTTTTTTAATCATGAGGGGGTCATTAGTTTTTGGCAGTCCCACAAAATGTATTAAATATCAAATGCAAACAACCCCCTACTAGGCTCTTCCACTGCTTTAGAATTCTTTCCTGTCTCCTTTTCCTCACCTCCTGCTTCCAGCCCTTCTCTCTGCCCCTCTCATCCCTCACACCCTCCTCACCCCTTAGTCCCCGCCACCCTGTCACTCCTGAATTGTGGCACTAACACTGTCCCTCACCTCCTACCCATGTCTGTTCTCCCCACAGTGCTCAGCGGTCCTGCTAATGTGACTCATGTCGTGTCATTTCTTCACTTACTATGGCTGGATTTTGGTCTACAATTTATATGTTTTCAATTTGTCTCGTATCTTTTTGTTTCTGTTCGTCCTTTGCTACTTTTTTATGTGTCAAGTGAACATTTTTTAGTTTTGGTTTTAATTCTCCTAGTGACTTTTAGCTATATTTCTTTACACTAATGTTTTATTGTTGTAAGAATGGAACCTGATTCCTTGACTTTTCACAGTGAAGTTCAGGTTCTATTGAACTACATTCGGCAAAATAAAGGATACTTGCAACAGTGTAGTTTCCTTTAACCTACCATTATGCTATTATTGTTTTATATATTATATCAATCTATATTATAAACTCAATGATACAGTGTAATACCTTTTGTTTTAGACAAGTAGCCATATGTCTTCAGGAAATTAAGAAAATGAGTGTGAATGTGACACGTGTATGTGCATCATTTCTGTTGTTAATTGTTCCTTTCTGTGTATCTGGGTCACCATGTAGTATCATTTCCCTTCACCCTGAAGAATTTCCTTTAAAATTAAATATAATACAGGACCTCTAGGAAATGAATTTTATGGCTCTGATGATATAAAAATGTCTTTATTTTTGCCTTCTTTCCCCCTCTTTTTTTTTTCTGCTTAGTAGGATATTTATGTGTAATAAAATTCAACAGTTTTAGCTGCGCCTTTTGGTGAATATTGGTAAGTATTTATAGTCGTGTAACCACCACACTGCCCAGTACAGAAACACCGAATGCACAGAACCCCCTGCTAGGCTCCTCCACTGCTTTGGAGTCCTTTCCCCTGCTCCTTGTCCTCACCTCCTGCTTCCCCAGCCCTTCTCTCTGCCCTCATCCCTCACACCTTCCTCTCCCCTTAGTTCCCACCACCCAGTTACTCCTGAACTGTGGCACTGTAGAGAACAGTTTCTTTTCCCTAAAAACCTTCTTTATGCCCCTTTCTATTTAATCCTTGCCTCCCACCCTCACCCTCTTCCCCTTATTCAACCACTGCTCTGTTTTCTGTCGCTGCAATGGTGACATTTCTAGAATGTCACGGACATGCAGTCATATGTTGTGTAGTCTTTTGTTTGGTCTCTCCTTTAGCATAACGATGTTTGAGATGATGCCATTCATTCATTTTTGTTGCTGAGCAGCTGCTGACTATTGCTGGAATCCCAGTTTATTCGTTGCTTTCTCTATTCTCCAGTTGATACACATGTGGATTCCTCCAGTTAGGGTTTGTTATTAATGAAGCCACTAGAAATAACTGCTTATAAGTGTGGCCTTACATTTTTATTTCTTTTGGATGACTACATATTTGTGGAATTGCTGGGTCATGTGGTAATGGATGGGTAACTGTGTAAGAAATTGTCATACCACTTTACAAATTGGCTGCCACATTTTTTGCATTCCTACCAGCAATATCAGACATTCTTGTTTTTTCCATATTCTTGTCAGTGTTTAGACTTATCATATGTCTTTTTAACTTAACCTACTCTAGTTGATGTGTGATGGCTTCTCATTGTGGTTTTAACTTGCACTTCTTAGATGACTAGTATTGTTTGCTATCCTTTCATGTTCATCTAAGTGACTTATTGCATATATTTTATGAATTATTTTGTAAATTCACTGATTAATTCCAGAGACTTTTTCAGAATTCCCTAGTGTTTTCTACATAAGCAATGAAGCTGGTGACAAAGAAAGTCTTTTTTCGTCCTTTCTTATCTATTGACCTTTTTTCTTTTAAAATTATTTTTATTTGGTAGAGATGAGGTCTCACCTATCAGACTGGTCTCAAACTCCTGAACTCAAGTGATCCTCCCCACTCAGCCTCCCAAAATGCAGGGATTACAGACGTGAGGCACCATGCCCGGTCCTTGTTACACTGGTTAGGATGCCTGTTAGGCGTTTAAACAAGAATGATGAGAGCTCACATGTTTGTTTACAAGGAACTTAAACAAATTAACAAGAAGAAAAAACACCCCCATCAAAAAGTGAGCAAAGGATATGAACAGACACTTCTCAGAAGAAGACATTTATGTGGTCCAGAAACATATGGAAAGAAGCTCAATATCACTGATCATTAGAAAAATGCAAATCAAAACCACGATGAGATACCATCTCCCACCAGTCAGAATGGCAATTATTAAAAAGTGAAGAAACACGAGATGCTGGCAAGGCTGTGGAGAAATAGGAACACTCTTACACTGTTGGTGGGAATGTAAACTAGTTCAACCACTGTTGAGGACCGTGTGGCCATTCCCCAAAGTTATAGAACCAGAAATACTATTTGACCAAGCAATCTCATTACTGGGTATATACCCAAAGGGATATAAATAATTCTACTGTAAAGACACATGCACACATATGTTTATTGCAGCACTATTTACAATGGCAAAGAAAAAGAACCAACCCTAATGCCCATCGGTGACAGACTGGATAAAGTAAATGTGGTGCATATACACCATGGAATACCACACAGCCAGAAAAATGAATGAGTTCATGTCCTTTGCAGAAACATGGATGAAGCTGGAAGTCATCGTCCTCAGCAAACTAACACAGGAAGAGAAAACCAAACACTGCATATTCTCACTCCTACGTGGGAGTTGAACATTGAGAACACATGGACACAAGGAGGGGAGCAATACACATCAGGGCCTGTTGGGGAGTCATGGGTGAGGGGAGGGAACTTAGAAGATGGATCAATAGGTGCAGCAAACCACCATGGCAGATTATGCATATGTAATAAACCTGCACGTTCTGCACATCTTGGAACTTAAAGTAAAATAATATAAGTTAAATAAAAAAAGAAAGCGCATGTCTTACATGTACACATAGTTTATTGAAGCACTATTCACAATAGCAAAGACTTGGAATCAACCTAAATGACCATCAATGGTAGACTGGATAAAGAAAATGTGGCACATACACACCATAGAATACTATACAGCCACAAAAAGAATGAGATTATGTCCTTTGCAGGAACATGGATGGAGTTGGAGGCCATTATTCTTAGCAAACTAACGCAGGAACAGAAAACTATATATCACATGTTCTCACTTATAAGTGGGAGCTAAATGATGAGAATACATGGGCATGTAGAGGGGAACAACACACACTGGGGTCCACCTGAGGGTGGAGCATGGGAGGAAGGAGAGGATCAAGAAAAATAGCTAATGGGTACTAAGGCTTAATACTTGGGTGGGTATTAATGGGTATAGAAATAATCTGTACAACGAAACCCCATGACACAAGTTTACGTATATAACAAACCTGCACATGTGCCCCTCAACTAAAAATAAAAGTTAAATTAAAACAAACAAACAAAGTGCATGTCTGGAAAGAGCATATGGTTGGGTTCCGTGTTTTTTTAAACCAAGTCACACAATCTCTGCCCTTCATTAAAGAGTTGATTCATATAGGTTTTTGTCATTATTGATAGGACAAGTTTTAGGTCTACCATGTTATTTTCCCAGTTATGGTTTCTCTGTTCCTCTTGTCCTGATCCATGTCTT